CTTTGGAACTCTGCATTCAAATGGGAATATCTTTCCTTTTCTCCTTTGCTTTTTGCTTCTCTTCTTTTCACAGCTATTTGTAAGGCCTCCTCAGACAACCATTTTGCCTTTTTGCATTTCTTTTCCATGGGGATGGTCTTGAGCCCTGTCTCCTGTACAATGTCACAAACCTCCATCCATAGTTCATCACGCACTCTGTCCCCTTAAATCTATTTCTCACTTCCACTGTATAGTCATAAGGGATTTGATTTAGGTCATACCTTAATGGTCTAGTGGTTTTCCCCACTTTCTTCAATTTAAGTCTGAAGGGTACATTTTAGAAATACAGTTAAGTGATATTTTGATAAAAGGATAAATTAATAAGGTTTAATAACTCAGATTTTAATGCAGAAATCATTACTAGTTTGTAGTTAATCTCCATTTTTTATTAGTGTGTGTTAAAACAACTTCCTAAGCTTGCTGAGTTTCTTGGATATTTCTCTGGTGATTCTAGGTACCCATCCACTTCTTAAAAGATGAGATGTCCAGTTCTGACGGGTCACCAAAGAAATAGCTAGTACTGCTACTTTGTAGAATAAATCTTTTTGCTTTGTTTGTTTGTTTAGTCTGGAGCCTAATATCAAAGAGGTAGAAAGAAATGAAAGTTATCTTGGAAGAGATGAAAAGTAAAATACAGGTAGATCCAAGCTTTTATAATCAAAATGTAGGATGTTATTTCTTTAGGAATAAAAGTATCACCACTGTGTTTAAAACAACTTAGTAAAATTCAGTCTTAAACCCTGGGTTTACAAAAATTTGGTTTAAACATGAAAATTTTTGTATTTTCCCAAAACATACATATGAATTTTCTTATTTATTCAACTGGTATCTACTGTGCCAGGTGTTAGGAACAATGCATTGCTAAGTATGAATATACTGTAGCAACAGGATGGAGAAAGAACACTTGGTGAGACGACAACCACAATTGCAATTTCAATGCCATTTGAGAGGTTTAAGGGTGGAAAAGTAAAGGGTGCTATTTGAGAGGGAAAGTAAAGGGTGCTATAGAAGTATATGGCAGAAAGAATGCAAAGGCTCATAATTCACAGGATAGCCTATTCAGAAGGCCCTGGCTAGAGTAGTGTGGAATAATTATTCCTAGACTATAGACTACCACAGTCCCATTCATGATATCTTAAAAGTGAGAACCGAAAGGATCAAACTGTGTCCAGGTAAGTTAACTGTATCCAAGAACAAAATTCAAGAATATTTTTAGGAAAAAAAAATATCCAGTACTGAAGAAAATATAATGTCTGGTTTTAATCAGATATGACCAGGCAATGCCAGAAGTGGGGAAACCAGACCCATAATAAGGAAAAGCAATGAAAGCTAATCCATATCTGACATGGATGTTAGAATTGGCAGACAGGGACTTTAAGACAGTTGTTATAATTTTCAGTATCTTCAAAAGGTAGAGGGAAGCTTGAACATATTTGGGTAAAAATAGAGAATATGTAAAAATAACCAAAATTATAAAGATTAAGAAATACACTAGATGAAAAAAAAAATTAATGGCAGATTAGATATTGCAGAAGCAAAGATTTATATTGATGACATAGCAATAGAAATTATTTGGACTGAAACACAGGGAAAAAACCAGGCCAACAAAAAGAGTAAGTAAAGCAGTAGTGAGTTGTGCGCCAACCTCAAGCAGTCTAGTACACTTGGAAAGGAGAGAGAAAGGAAATATATTTGCAGAAATCATTGACAAAGGTTATCCAAATTTATGAAAACTATAAACTTAGAATTTCAAGAGTTTTAAACCACCAAATCCACATGATAATCAGATTGTTCAAAACTGAACTTTGTTCAGTTGAAAATTGAACTTTGTTCTTAGTAACAGAAAATCTTAAGGATTCTAGAAAATTTCTTGTCAAAAGAAATGCAAGTGAGAAGGCTGTGGACATCTTCAAAATACTAGGGGGAATCAATGTAGTATTCTATACTCAGTGAAAATATCCTTCAAAAAAAAAACACAAAGGCAAAATAGAGATATTTTTGAGACACACAAAAGCTGAAAGAATGAATCACTAACAGAACTATGAGAAATGTTAATGGAAGTCCTTGAGGCAAAAAGGAACATGACCCAAAAAGACATACGGATCTACACAACTGAATGAACAAAATCAGAAACCGTAAGTATGTGAATAAATACACAAAATGTATTATAATTCATATCTAAATTTATTATAATTCATATCTCACTTGAAGATAAATGACTTCAGAAAAAATGTAGCGTGTGGTTTATAACATATGCACATGTACAGTGCGTAACAATGATGCAAAGGGTGGAAGGAGAGAAATGCAGCATACTGTTACAAGGTTCTGTATGCTATACATTGGTATACATTGGTAGCATATACTTGAAGTGGTATCGTAAGTATAGCTCAGATGGTAAAGAGTACGTGCAAGGCGGGAGACCTGGGTTCTGTCCCTTGGTCAGGAAGACCCGCTGGAGAAGGTAATGGCAACCCACTCCAGTATTCTTGCCTAAGAAATTCCATGGACAGAGGAGCCTGTTGGGCTACAATCTATGGGGTCGCAAAGAGTCAGACATGACCAAACAACTAACACACTACACTACTACATACTATATAAAGATGAATATTATAGACCCTAGAGCAGTCATT